GACTAGTCAGCTGTTCCATCAAATCACCAGGTGAACTCTTTAGGGATTTACTTTTACTAGCAACCAACGCCATTGTATTTTATTCGAAGAGGACGACAGAACACAAGTCAGCTGTGGCTCTCAGAGACGTCGTCACTAAAGTATATCATGACCATTATAAAAGCTCTTACCACACAACTACTTCTTCTCAACTCACATTCTCAACAACAGGTAATCTGCCCGTGAAGCCAAGAAGTGCTCGCCCTCGTCCCTCCAAATTCAAACTTCAATCCAATTCTTGAAACAATGTAAATAGCATTGCAGGAATCATTCGATGAGATGATCATAAACAAAGTGATGCTGATTCCGAGGCTCGATTGTAGTCATTGTTAGGTGACTCACAGCCTCCCTCTCGCCCAAATAAATGAAATGGGATGAATCAAATCAATAAGCTTTTTGATTGATTCAGGGCGCAGCGAAGCCAGCTGCTAAGAAAGGGTACAACAGACATGGCAAGCCCGTGTGGGGATCGGTTGATGGATCTGTTAATCCAAGATACACGACTTAAAACTCCGTTTGAGGAGGAACATTGATCTGAGGTGATTTGCAGGTTGCTTAGTCCTCTTGTTCATGTACAAATTTTCTTCCCCATTCCCCAACCCTATACCTTTCATGGTCATTTTGCAACTAGACTCCAAATGTGAAGATCATTACAAGTTAATACTTAGTTCCAAATTCAGTTAGACATTTATAAAATGGAGACTTCTTCATTGTTACAGATCTGAGTATATGCTATTTCTAAATTCTGAATCATATTCAGGGAACTACTAGTAATAAAAAGGTTTTTAGCCAAAAGTATGATGGAGTTTCATTGATGCGTTAATTAATAAATTTCTTAGCTCAGTGGTTTTCATGGTAGAGTTTCAAAAAAAATTATGATGGAGTTCCAAAATCAAATGATTGAACAATCGGGAGCGATTTACTCATGATATTTTGTTGACATCCACAAAATATCTAATGAATTGTCCAAGTTCATATAAGGAGGCCAATCCATTCCCCGACCACGTGGGACTTTAATCCACCCTAATATCCCTTTTATGCCTAGGTTGGAGCTTGGACCGAGAGTCCAAACATGATGGACCTGATTTTAATATCATGTAAAGATATGACACCTAGACCTAACTCAACCTCAAAAGTTAGCTCACGAGGAGAAGATTTATCAAGTCCATATAAGGAAATCATCAGTTCATTCCTCAACCAATTAGGAACAATATATATTCCTTGCTCACTATCAAATAATCATTTATTCACAAACTTTGTGTCGAAAATTTGTTTTTCTTTGGACGACAAAACATCCATTTTTCTTGTGTGTTTTCGTGGACTTGCTAAAATTGTTGTCATAAAAAGAAAAAGAATATTAAAGCGCAATGTGTATGTGACTATGACAACCAATAATATCCACGAAAATTCTTCCCTCAATCCACAGTGTTTGTCATGGTAATGTCATGCACACCCCTTCAGGAAAATTTAATACAAGGTGAATTTGACTAATATAAACTTACTATACCAAGAATACATTACTTTTCAATTGAACTACACTATCATTAAGCGCAAAATTGGAAAAAAATAATTAATTATTTCTTAATTATTTAAATTGATAATTAATTTTTGATATTTATTTTAAATATATCTACCAAATAATTGTGGTGGAAGGGAGTATAATAGGACTAGAATTGACTTTTGCAATATGGAGTTAAAAGGAGGAAATTAAATATTCCTTCTTGTCCTTTTAGTTATCATTATTAATATTATTATTAAAAATAATTGAACCCGAAAAATTATTTTGAAAAATAAAAAAAATAAAGCTGTTTAATATTTCAATAAAATATAACTGAATTTGATGGAAAAGACACATAAATACGGAATGAACGTTTATTGAGGAGAGTAATTAATTTAGTGAAAGAATTTTAAAAATTTATATCAATAGAAGTAAATTAGTCAAATTGTTCCTATCAAAATCCATATCCCAATTTATTTGTGATCAAGATGTAATTATTGTTATTACTCTTCTTTATCAATAGATAGAGAGATCATTTTCGAAAAATAAAAATAAAATGAAGAATTATGTCGAAATATTTTAGATAATCGAAGTACGATCACAGACGTAATAAAAAGTACCAACAAATTTCCTTGTTTTAAGTTAAAAGTTCTCCATATTTTTTCAATCGAACTTGTTACACGAAATATATTTAATATAATTTACTTTTTAAAAATAGCTTGAGTGATTATATTAAAACAAATTTTATTAAAAATACAAAACCAAAAAAAAAAAAATCCCTATCAAAAGTCACAGGTCGTTGTTCCTTTTTTATTTTATCATACAAAAGGCAAAGACACACTCGTGGTTTTTCATCAACTCACATTATTTATGTTGGATGTGATCTTCCCATAAAACAACTTTAAAGAAAAAAAAGATTATTTCATATGGAATTTAGATAATTTAATAGAAGTGTTCATTTAAAATAACTGATTTAAAATAATTGTTATTTTTTAAAAATAAAAAAGTAAAATATAATTAATTATTATTATTTCTAATAGTTTTTTAGCTTAAAATAAAGCATATTTAAGTAGTTTGAAAAAGAGAATACAGATAAAGAGCATTAAACCTAACAAAAATAATGTGAAATGAAAAGTACTATATAACATACATATGAATAAATAGATGACAATAAAATAATGTGATATTCAGAGTATAGAAACACTAAAACTTACACTCCAAATAATTAATCTTGATCCTTCGATTTAATACTGATTTTGCTGTAAATTTCGTCAATCAGTATTATATCATCTATAACTAAAGTTATTTCTCGATATAAATATATCATATTTAGATAATTTTATTTATCGATTTTTAAGAAATAATATGTTAGGTCAATATTAACGGAGTAAATATATACGAAAAAATAATTTTTAAAAATGGGTAGTTTAAAAGATAATGTCATCTGGTTAGTATTGCTTCTTGTGATCATTATAATTACAAAAATAATTAGAAAAAATGATTAATTTAAGTTACATGCTCAATACAAATTTTCTAGTTTTATATTTGAAGCTCCACCTACATCTTGAAAAAAGGAAAAAAAAAACACCTACTGCCAATAGTAGCTTTTACTTTAATTACTACTTTTTGTGATTATTATTATACTTCCTTTAAATAATTTGGAAATTAGTTGTCAAATCAACATATTTGATTGGTCCAAAGACATTTGTTGTATACCATATTTTTAGTACTAGTATTTTTTAAATTTTGAATATTTATTTGGCGAAAAGATTTTGTATCGGAATTTAAATTTTTATTTATAAAATAATAAATGTAGTGCATAATACCCATAAACAATACTTAACTATACACGAAAATGTACTTATACTTTCTAAAATATGATTTTTTTTTTTTTAATATAAAGTTTGTCACGTCTATAATTTAAGGAGGCGCGATAAGCACCTAATGTCTTTCTTGACTGAGCAAATCAAACGTAAACCTTATAATTAGAATCATAAAATATTGGTTCGAACAAAAATTACTCTATAAATATAAATATATATATATATATATATATATATATATATATATATATGTATGTATGTATGTATGTATGTATGTATGTATGTATGTATGTATGTGATATATGTAAATAAGGACAAGTAAAATAGTAGTATCAAGTTTTTATGAGAGGGTTACGTAAGAAGAATTGAAGAATTTTGTAAGAAATAATATTGACTAAAATGAAATGCGTGTTTTTGAATTCAAAGATGACAACGTTAGAAAATTTTGACATTAACATTAAAGAAAAAATTCAAAAAACATAAAATTAAGACGTGAACTTAAATAAATATATTGTCTTTACATATATTAAAGAAATTGGGAATACAAAACAAAAATTGTGTTTAAATATCTATAGATTTTTCCTTTTCTCATTCATGATAGAAACCTAATATATAGAGTCAAGAAAATAGTTATTTTAGTGTTATCGTATTTTATGATCAAATATATCCTTTAAATTTAATTTTAAAATAAAATATGAAAATGCTACAATTCCTTTAATTTCATTTCGCCTTACCATCTCACTCATATAAATTATAATTGTCGAATAAGTGAAGAAGAATTTAAAAAAAGCTATATATAAATTTAAGTTGTGACAAAAATTTTTTGTTGATAACCTAACAAAACAGTGAAGATGTTATGTTTATTACTAATTATATAATTCTGCATGAACAAAACAAATCATAATTGTAATTAAGATTGTTGAGACTGACCTACTAACAACCATTTATAATTGAAAAATAAGATTAGTTATCATATGAATTAGAATTAAACATGTTGTCTTATCTGTCCAAATTTAACATTTTCTTCTCTAGTGACTTATAAATTATTATAATAAAAAAAATTTCGTTAAAAACTTTTAAAGGTGGTCACATCAATAAAAATCAAAATACTTCCTTCCTCCCACTTATATAGCCCTTTCTTGATTTCGAAATTCAAAGATATCAATTTTTAATAATAATTTTTTTATATATATTTTGAATTATTAATTAACATGATCTATATTATTATTTACATAATTTTTAAATATATAAATTTTAATTTTTAAAAATTGAAATTTTCATAAGCAAAATATCAATTAAATACAAATTGTCTGATTTTTAAAAAATAAAAAGTGTCACGTAAATATCCGTTAGAATCTTTCAGTGGTTTGAGCTACATGGAAGTATCAAGTTCGAAATCTCTTGTCAACGAAGGTAAGGCGATTGAATTTTTGGTTGAGCTCGTCGCCCGGGCTTATTTAATGCGAGTTACTTCTTCTATGTAATTTGTGAGCTATTGCATAAGATCGAGGGTTTTTCCTGTGCGCACCCTAAAGTATAGTGACCGTAGATTTTCCTTGTCATAATTTTTTTAAAAAAAAGTATCACGTAAATTTGAATTTTTTTTTATAAATATAAAAAAGACAAAGCAAGTTTTATGGCGGTGTGTTTTTCCTAGTGGTAACATGTGTCTAAGCTCCAATTAAACGTGGCACTTTCAACAGTTTTGTCTCTCTCAAACTCAAAGACCCTTTCTCCATATCTCTGTATACATAAAATATACACTCATTCTACACAAATTCAAACTCTTTATATACACATTTCCCCCCATTTTAATCGGTGATATACTATATCCCTTTTTTTTTAAAAAATAAAAATAAAATTATTCTTAATGGGGACTTTCATCTGAATTTTGAGGTATTTTCTCTGTTTCTTTATCTTCTATGCTTTCATTAAATTTTTTTTTTTCAGATGCATGAGCTGAAATATTTATTGTGTACTATTTAATTGAAAAAAGTCACGAGTAACGTTTTTTTCTGTTCATTTAATTGTTCCAGAATTTTGAATTTATAAAGTTTCTGTTAAGACATTACTAGTTCATTTAATTAATTGATTTTTAACTCTTCAAATGGATTTAATACGTTTCATTTTTAGATATCGGCATTAAATGTGATTTGTTTTTTTTTTTAAATTTGGATAAAAAAAAGTTTGAGTTCTAACTTTGTTATTTCTATGAAATCTATTTTTGCAGAAAAATACTGATAATTCGGTGAGGATATTTTATTTATTTTTTTACTAATTTTTTTTTCTGTGTTCTTTGATGATTTTTGGAATTTAGAGATGTTGAGTAATCACTCAATGGATTGAAATTTTTTGAATTTTTTGTTGTTGTCCGCTTATATTTCTCGTGGAATGGAATAAATAAATAAATAAATATATATATATTGTTTAATGCCTGCATGCAAAATTTAATAAAAAAAATGTTTATTCAATTTTGATGCAAGAACCTTAATTCTGGAATTGTATTCCTGTTTTTTTATTTTTTTTAATTATGATATCTCCTTTATATTTAGTTCCATTTTTCTCGAGCCTTTTCATGATCGTGGGGTTTGGACCAGCTTTCGCGCACCTCGATTAAATTTCAGGGGATACCTGTACCTCCTACAGGTCGCAGATAACTCTGTCCACCAAGGCTAGGACAAATAGGAAAAATCACCTAGTGTTTTTTTGGTCTCCGCTCACAAGAATTCTAATAGATACTATATCTGCCACCCATAGTTACAATTATTCCAGTGTTACCCGTGTTAAAATCCGTAAAGTTTAAATCTTGAATCGGCTCAAGCCTAATAAGCTTCTTGAATAGGTCTTCCAGAGGACATTAGAGTTTAGAACTACAATTATTTCAGTGTCAAGAAGTGTTGGATCTGCTCGGGCCTCGGAAGAAGCTTCTTGAATAGGTCTTCCAAACGACATTTAAGTTTCGATTCTCATGGTTGTGTGCCTGACATGGCATTTTCACACTTGAACACTTGTTGTTTTCAGTTCTCTTATTCATATTACATTATGGCCAGCCTTAGTAGAAGTTGGTAGCTGCACCTCTTTTCGATCGTGATGACACCGGTAGTTGTGAGCAGAAACGACGAGCAAGTAGTGCCACGGGGATACAAAATGTGACTTGTTGTATGATGGTCGGTGGAGTGCCCTGACTTGGTGTGCGCGTGAGTAACTCACTTCATGTTTTGTAGAGCACTGAATATAAAGCCTTTTAGTCTCTTTCTCCCCGCGTTATAGATTTATAGCATAGAACACATGGTGTGCCACGAGATACTGCTTTGCGCTGCACTTATACCCAATTAACTAGTCCAAGTTCCGAAATTTTGTTTGGACATCAGAGCACAATTTGAATTATTGCAGTACGGTCAAACAAGGAGCATGTTGTAGATATTGATCCACTTTTTACATAAATAGGCTATTTCTCGTAAACACTTTTTACTGTTCCACACTAATTTGTTTATCAAACTGTTATTATTGCAGCTTGTAATGAGCAACCTTTGTTATATCATAGCATAGTCACCTATGAGAGCATCTATCATGGCGGTGTCGTCAACGAAGAAAAAGAGTGTCTTTGTTGACAGGGTATGTGAATGCATAGTGGGATTAAAATCTCACAAATAATATATTCCCTCTTTTGGAACATCCAAGTTTACTGTATATTGAACTATTGAGGAGCGGAATTGCAGGCAACATGTGGAGTAAAGGTGAAGCAGATTGCTTTTATGGGGATTATATGTACAATTATGTTTTTGATTGTGTATAGGACCACTAACTATCAGTATCGACAAACGGAGGTATGATGGTGCTACCATTTGTTCGTTACATAATTTTCCGTTTATTTATATGATTGAATGTGAGAAAAGTAGAGATACGTTACATTGTGCCCGAGAACTATACAACCAGCCACATTCCTGATAATCATACTTCCTTGTGTACCTTTTCAGATGGAGTCGAAATCGGATCCATTTTATTCTTCGAAGGTAGTTGCATTTTTGCTCTTCTTTATATATAAATTTGTCCGACGCTTATTAGCTTCCTGTTCTTGATGAGCTGAAGTATTTTGTGGATAACAGTTTGTATCAATTGTCACTCTAATGCATTCTGTTCTTGCATCCAGGATTCTGATGTAGATATTACAAGTTTCAACAGTTTGCCTCGTGGTATTATCCACGCGAGTTCGGATCTAGAGTTAAAGCCTCTTTGGTCTACAAGTAATTCAAAGTCCAAGGTGTTTCTCTACTCATTAAGTGTTGAATAAATATATTATCCTCCTTTAGTATCTCTTATTATCATTGTTACTAGTTTTTCTCTTCCGCTCAGTTTTTCTCCCTCCATGTTACCCTTTTCAGGATAGTGTTTCTAGTTCTCGTAACCTGTTGGCAATGGCAGTTGGTATTAAACAAAAGAAGAATGTCGATACTCTTGTCCAAAAGGTATAACATCTTACTCGTCTTTGTTTTTGGGAAAACTTGTAATTGACTAATCTTTTTTCTGATTTTCAGTCATGTCTGATGCGTGATTTACTTCAATTCAGTTTCTTTCAGAGAATTTTACAATCATCTTGTTTCACTATGATGGACATGTTGATGGCTGGTGGGACCTCAAATGGAGTAAAGAAGCCGTTCATATTGTTGCAAACAACCAAACTAAATGGTACGAACATTGTGAATGATTTCGAATTAGCTGAAGTGTGTGTAGTTGAACACGGCGACTTCTGTCTTCCTAATCCCGTGGGGAGATCAAGCAGGCTGATATTCACTATGACTGGAGGGGGTGGGGGTCTTTAGTATCTTAATTTGCGGACGAGTGATTGTTCTGCTCTTCAATAGAGAAACCGTGCAGAGTAGTAGTCGGGGTTTCCATTGCTGGAAGTGAGTCTGTTAATAACCTCTAATGCGTTTGATGTTGAAAAATTAATTGAAATACAAATCTCGTATTCTCTCTACGATTGGAACCCCTCCTTTTATGCTGAACTTTCTTCTCGTGAAAATTACGATCAGCTTGTAAACTTGTGAAGTAGTAGAACTCATTGGTACTGTTGTGAATTCCTTTTTACGCAGGTGGTTTGCAAAACGGTTCTTACATCCTGCTGCTGTTTCCATATACGATTACATTTTCCTTTGGGATGAAGATTTGGGCGTGAAGAATTTCCATCCTGGAAGGTGAAATGCTTGCATAAAATATGTCCTAATTTACATATATATAATCTTCAGATAAACATATTTGATATAAGTTTCTAATTTAATCCTGGTGAACTTTTGTTTTTATAGTTCAATCAACTTTTGCTGGATGTTAATTTTTTTTTTCCCATATACTTTTGTTTTTTCAGGTACCTCAAAATCGTTAAATCAGAAGGACTTGAAATTTCCCAGCCAGCCTTGGACCGGAACTCAACTGAAATACATCATAGACTCACAATAAGAAGCAAGAGAAAAAGGTTCCACAGGTTGAGCACTTATAATCCGACTCCTCAAATTTAATGTTTTGGAATATTTTGGGCGAATATTAATGCACTTCTTATTTAAACAGACGAGTGTATGATAGCAGAGGTAGTACAAAATGCTCAGGTGAAAGTGAAGGTCCTCCATGCAGTGGGTGAGCTTTATACATACAATTGTTATGAGCCGTGTGCATTTGTCAATCTGGTTAAGCTTTTGCATTCTCCTCGACATTAATTAATATAATTTGGATAAAATCTTGCTTCAAGTGTATGTTGAATTTGATGATATCTTTTTGATAATATCTACGGGAATGTGTATCATTTATATTCTTTATCTGCAGATTTGTGGAAGGGATGGCTCCAGTCTTTTCAATATCTGCTTGGGTGTGTGCTTGGCATCTTATACAGGTAAACTTCTGGTTCTGTCGGAGCTGACTACAGTTCGTGTCGAGATAAAAAGTAATTTTTGTTTAAGCTAACTTAATATTCGGAGGATTGTTCTGAGGGCAATGCGTTAGCTAAAATGCAACCGTTAACTATATCATCGTGAAATTGTGCACTTGCTAATCTTCATGACTAGCTGCTTCCCATTTCCAGTTCTGTTCCAAACTTTGTGGGATTACGTTCTACACCGTCTCATGCTGAGGAATTGTCAGCTTGTTCATTATTTTACCTGCTTTCGTTTTCAACGCATGTACAGATTCAAGCCTACTGTAACTGAATTCTGGTTACTGATTCTTTCCATCAGAATGATCTCGTTCATGGATGGGGAATGGACATGAAATTTGGTTATTGTGCACAGGTTAGATCACTTCTTTGTGGCTTCTTGGTTATACTTCAGTTTAATTTCACTTGTTAAAACGGCATAAATATGCCCTTTAACTTGGCTTCGAATCACATTCATGCCCTTCAACTTTGGATGTGCACAAGTAAACACTTAAACTTGTATAAAGTTGATTAAACGCACACGCATGTCCTACATATCATCCTATATGTCATTTTTTGTCCTACGTGGTGTCCTACGTTACGTGTATTTTGCCATGTAGGACTCATGTGTTTATTTATTTAAAAGTTGGATAGTTAAAGAGCTTGTTTTTGTATTATGAAAGTTGGAGGTCAAAAGTTAAAATTTGAAGTCAAGTTTAGGGTCCAATATATGTATTATGCCCGTTAAAACATTTGCAATTTCATCTTTTCTTACTAAACCGTCATTTACATCTAAGTCAAAACCTTATGAATTGTCCGTCAACGGCTTAGCTTTTATCAATGAACAGGGCAGCTTTTTGTGTGTTAACGGCAAGCTATGTATTAGTTTCTGGAGAGTTGTTCTCATTTAAGCTATTTAACGGGATTGAAGAATTCTGTTTAGTGTGCTGTCAATTATTATTTGGAAGTAGTGGATGCATATATGATTCTAATTTATGTGGAACTTGAAATTATTGTAGGGAGACCGAAACAAAAAAGTCGGAGTAGTTGATAGTGAATATATCGTCCACCAGGGCATTCAAACATTAGGAGGGCCATCTCTGAAGAAGGTAACCTTCCGTTACTGTATCCGTTTTAATTGGAGTTTTAAGACACTACGTTGTTGTTCTCTCTGTTTGTTATCATGTCGTATATGATTGCATTCAGGTTCTTATTCAAACTTCAGTGTAGGATGATATTTAGACGTAATACATACATAAGACACTTTAACGTGACCTCAGCTAGTAACTAAACCCTCCAACTTACTCAGTATGCACATCTAGACACTTCAACTCGTCTCCATTGTATCAGTATCATCAATCTACCTCCAAAATTGACGTGCCATGTCAGCATCTGATGCCACGAGAGACAATAAGGACGAGTTGGAGCGTTTAGTTGTCGGTTCAAGTGCCTACATGTGTGCTCCCAAAGTTAGACTGCTTAGTTGCCAACCGAGGCCAAGTTTGAATGTTTGTTTATTTATTACTGATAGAGTTAAAGTCGTATTTACTATATTTACTCGATCTGTTCAAGTTCTATGTTCTATATCGACACAATCGTTATAAATCGATTACTGGTAGATAACTATGATAAGCATTTCATAATTGGTAGTTAAATAAAAACAGTAATTACACTTACCGCACAAGAATCTTTACACTGCAGTGTGTATAACTTTAAAACTCTTACCGATATTATGACTTTGTATGCTTGTTTCTATTGCACCGCTAAAATTAGTTCATGTTTGTGCAGCCTTCAAATCTTGAAGAGTCTACGAAGGTATGTGACATCCTACTGCTCCTTTGCTTAAGCAGTTTAAGAAATTTTCGACGCTTAACTTCTGCTGATTGCCTACTTTTGTTTGATTTCTTTTCTCTTGGCCTACAGAGACACGTTGTTGACGTGCGATCAGAGGTAAGACTTAAGTTAGTGTACCATGAACTCCATCCCACATATTTTGGATGTTGTGGCATCAGTTATCTAGCTACATTCTATTACCGGTTGACACCATTTTGCAAAACTTTGATTCCGGTTACTGCTTGTTAAATTCCGTTAGGTTCTTTGTCAAATAGGTTCTTTGTCAAATACTAACAGATTTGAATCCATATTCTTTGGGGGTCTAACTTTGTTGCTTCTGTCCTCCTTGAGTTACTACACATTTTAATAAAGAAATAGAATTGGTTATGATTTGCTATCACAGAAGACACTGCAGAGTTTTTTTTCCAATTGTATTCATATGGTGCAGATTCGACGACAGTCTATGTATGAGCTACAAATATTTAAGGAACGGTGGGAACGAGCTGTGGAGGAAGACAAGAACTGGGTGGTGGATCAAGTTAAAGCAATTAGACGAAGACGTAAACGACGGCGCAAACAAATACCAAAATCACAGGTTAAGCTAAGGTAACGTTGTTTTAGCGATAATCAGAGATACGTACTATGTCTTGATCAAAGATTATAATACGAGGCTATACACTGAACCCTGAGTGTATGTCAATATTTTTCACCGTGTCATTTCCGACTCCCACGACCACGCAGTTGCAAGGGAACTTGTAAATTGTTACTGTATAGGCCTATTGAATTTCCATATAATTAGTTCATTGTTTTGATGGTTGTGGCAACTCCATTTTTTGCCTAAACGATTTTCGTTACCGATTCTTGTAGTACTTTTCGGGGGATTAGCTGAGTCCCCAGAATTGAGATGTATATTTATTTGCCAGGTTACAAGTATTGAACACTTGTGTCCATTTACGTATAGGGAAAAAACTTACTCGCACATGGTTAGGTTCGAACCCGTGTACATAACAAGGGTTCAAACTGTGTTGTTTCTATATACTAGAAGACTAGACACATGTGCCTGCTAGCACAAATTCAATATTATTTCTTTCTTTATCTTAATTTTTTTATCTTAAATTATCTGATATAGATAGAATTTGGAAAGTCCAACTCAATTTTAATATGACCTTTGGGTATTTTAAGTTATTAATTATTGTGATTTATAGTATCACAAATTTTAAATAGGCATAATATATATATTGGATCATAAACTTAGCTTTAAATTTTAACTTTGACCTTCAACTTTCATAATGCACAAACAAATATTTTAACTATATAACTTTTAAATAAATAAACACATGAGTCTTACATGATACAATACACGTAGGACACCACGTAGGACAAAAAATGACATGTAGGACGTGTGTGTCTATTTGTTCAACTTTATACAAGTTTAAGTGTGTTTGTGCACATCCAAAGTTGAAGGTTATAAATGTGATTTGAAATCACGTTAAAGGGCACATTTACGTATTATGTCTTTTAAATAATATATGTTACTCTCTTATTTAAATTTATATGATACTTTGAACTTTTTAGAATCTATAATATTTTTTGTCTTTTAGTTTTAATTTTGGAATAGTGTACAAGTATTTTCTCAATCTATCTCTGAAATCTTAGAGACACACTTATACTATAATGGGGTCTTATTACTCTCTGAATTTTTTATTTTATTAATAATTTGTCATTCCTTTTCGGCCTACGTGTTTTGTGGGTTTAACGCTGATTGATTTTTTTTTTCAAATTAGTGTCATGTAGACTAAAAGGGGGCAAAAATTACTTATAAAATAAGTTCATAGGGTAATAGAATATTGGTATAGTACAAGTGTGTCAATGGAATTTCGAACATAGGTTGAGGGGGTACTTGTACATTTTTTCTTTAATTTTTTTAATTATGATCTATATTATTTTTATGTCATTTTTAAACAATATATGTTACTAATATATCCATAATTATGTGATACTTATTTGGGGGTCAATCGCACTTTTTGTATCTCTCTTCAATGTTTAAGGTTGTTAATCGTGATTTATAATTTTTTACGTAATTTTTGAATAATATATATTGCTGTAAAACCTTTATAAATTAATATAGATGAGATTGAAATTTTATTATTTTATAGAGATGTTATTTAGTCGATAAATTAATATTTATTAGTTTAAAGAATGGTTTGAGATTAGTGAAGGTTAATTTTGATTATAGCAAAATCAATGTATCTTATTAATTTATGTATCATATTTACTTATTTCAAAAGGAATATTATATATAAAGTACAACGAATATATCAAAGTATCTTACTAATTTCAATCTTGTGATGCTGGGATAACAAGAGTTTTTAAAATGTATTATTGTGACGATTTTATCATACGATATTTGAAGGCTATTGATTTGACAAATTGAACCAACAAAGATAAATGTTGTGGATGTTGATCTTGCAATTTCTACTTTGGACAAGAAATGTTCAGCAAGAGATTGTTAGGATTGAAAATAAGCAGGTGTAAATGTAGAAACTAGCAAAGTAAATCTCGAAAGACTACGAGTAAGAAGACAACGATAAATATATTAAAAGACATAAAAATTTAACGTGATTTAGTCAATCGATCTACATACACAAAGGATAAAGTACAGAATGTAGAGCGAAATAATTTCAAATAATTTATTCGGAATACATGGAAGGTTTACACAAGTGATAACATATCATGTGACTCATAATTTTTTACCCTAATCAAAACTTTCAAAACCTCTACATTGTGAATGTTGATTAAGTTAGAAGGAACATATATCTATTTATAGAGCCCTAAACCTTTTCTTACCAAAAAAAAAAGATTAGTCAATTCAAATCTTAAAAGGAAAATCTATTTTATGGTAAGAAATCAGGGTAAATAAACTCCAACAGAGATAATATCAAATTGTTTTCGATACTGTAAAATTCATTTGGAGGATACAAATCTAAGAGAATATAATTTGGATGAACTCACTTGTGAAAACGTCATTCATAAACTTTAAGTCATGATTAATGATCTCGGTTATCACAATAAAAATGAATGTCAATAACCTGTTGGATTATCTGGGTGAAAGTGAGACATGCTCAGAGGTTCATAGCTTAGAAGAAGTTGTGGATGCCATCGAAAAAAGCAATGTTGATGATGATACTATACCTGGAAACACTTATGTATCTAGAATTCTTTACAATTTTATGGTGTAGATGAAAAGACAACACCAGAGCTCTTGGATGCAGTAAGATAGTCAGAGATGCTTCAACTAGATTTAATTATAAGAAAAAAATAGATAACACAATAATATCATATTTCACTAAATTGCTTTAAATATATTTTTACTTTTAAAAAATATTTATTAATTTATGATATTAATGAAACCATATATTTATAAAGGGTTCTTTTGAAAATATATTATCTTATCGAAATTGATAATTTTTTCTATTGGTCCAAATCGGAATTAAAGAAAAATATTATTTTAAAGAGATTATTAATTTATCGAGTATTATTTTATAGAATTTTACTGTACTTAAATTGTCCTATCGTATCTAGAACATACAGAAATTCGTTAATCACAAGTTGTTAATTATTGAGATTTGTAATATCTTTTACGTATTTTTTAAATTGAATGATAGAGGTTATTTTTTTATTTTCATTTTATGTAATGCCGATAGATTAATTTCAAGAATCACTAGATCATATTATATTTCCTAAAAATATTGTGAATTGTTAATTGTCATAATTTATAGTATATTTTACGTAATTTTGAATATATATATATATATTATATATATATATATATATATATATAATATAATATATATAAATTAAAGAAATGAGATAAATAAATTAAAACGGAAGAATCATAAGCAGAGATGCCCTAAGGGTGGTCAAGCAGGTGTTTGCTTGAGAACCTAAACTCCCTCTCATAAATATAAGTAGAAAATATAGAGAAAAAAGGGTCACCAGTAGGGTTCTTTCTTATGGTTAGAAAATTAAATCGAATTTGTAATTTAAATCAAAATGATTGAAAACATTATTATTTAAACTGGGTTGGTTTTAAATTTTAAAAATTGATGCTATTTGGTCTGATTTGATTTTAGTTTTGCTAAAGAATAATTGCAAAAATAACTAAATCGAATAGATGAATTAGATATATAAGTTTATAATTATTTGTATATTATTTCTAAATAAAATATAAATATTTTGTTAAATTTGAATTAATTTAAGTTTTAATTTTATCATTTTATCAAGCACAACACTTAAGCTTAATTATAATCGTCCTAAATTCAAGTCCATTAAAATTCATTTTAATCTTTAGTTTTCTTACTTCACATAAAATAGTCAGATTGTTTTTAATTAAATCATTTTGTTCGTGTCATGATAATTTTAATATGCTTAATAGACCAACAATAACTTTTTTGTAAATTGTTTATGCATTAGATGATGGTACTAAGAATTTAAGAAAATTAAGTTTCACGAATTTTAAACGAATGATCTATCAATTTTGAAATATTACATTTCTTTAGCTGTTGTATCGTATTGTCGATTTAAGACCTCAAGTGATCTATCGATTTTGAAATATTCTTTTAGACTTTATGTATATGTTAAGAAAATATATAATATATTTCTCAATTTTGATATTTAGAGTTGAAAGTAGCTTACATGTTTTTTATATTATTGATTGTCGCACCATGTTCTTTTCCTAGACAAAATAAAAACGATGGTATAAATTATTGTTTCGAAGGTAAAAGGAAAAATGTATTGAAACCATCCCTAAATTTGGCACTTCATCTCTGAATTATTAACATCCTTAACCTTTTTATTTAACTAACTGAAGCTGAATACACCCGATCTTATTTAAGAGTGTTTTAATACCTTTTTTTAAAATTCTTATTAACAAATTTGATATTTTTACAAAAGTTTGAGACTATCTATGACGTGATGTGGCAAATTAAAAATATATATATGATATGTTCAAATTTAATTAGTCAAGTAAAAAGGTTCTTACGACTAACAATTCATAAACAAAATTATTTCCCTCGAGACTAAAAAGCTGAAATTATTAAGTAGTGCCCTTCTGTTAGGAAAGAATACTTAATTAGGAGTAATTATATTTACCACTATTCTTGGACCAAAGCTAATATTTGTTTGGTTTATTTTTATTTTAACATTATCTTCAAAATACATTAAAAATAAAGAAAAATTACAGATATCTCACCTTTTGATTTATTTATCATCATTATTTTCTTTAAATTTTTATAAATTTCTAAAATTCCTTATTTTTGCATATTAAATTAGTTTATCTCGCACATCAAATTAGTGTATCTTATACATCAGATTAGTATATCATGTATAAACTGTACATCAGATTAATGTATCATGTATGAAATGTAAGAAATCTTACTTAACGACTAATGTATCTCGCGCATCAGATTAATGTATCAACACTTATTGTATTAAATTGAAAATTTTTTGTAATTATAAACTTTTAAGGGATAAATTATAATTTTGTTTTAAAAGTATATGATTATGTAATTTGCCCAAAAAAACAATTATATTTTTCACTCTTAACAATTTTCTTTTTAAGATCTAATATTAATTATCTATTCATTGTGGCAGTGTGTGTGACAAGTAAAAGTATGACCAAAGTTTAATAATCTCTCTCTTTTGTCAATTTTGTGCTTTTTATGTACAATTTAATTAAATTAATAAACCCCCACCCCCTACCCCCATCTCTCTCCCAAAAATTTCAACTATATAGAGAAGACTTTCTTTTCTTCTCTCTCTAGAATGGTATAATTCCCTTGATTTTTCTCCATTTGATTTCACATTTTATGTATAAAATAGCCCCCAAAATTTGAATAAAGACTTCTCCTTTCTTCCTTGGCTCTTAAGCTTTTTCAGCTATTTGACTATTCAGATCTCAGCTGAGTTTCTGGTGGCAGCTTTTCTTGGAGCAAAAAATTGAGACAGTAACAAAACTTTGCTGAAATGGCTAACCATTATGATCGCAACCCTTTTGCTGAAGAAGAAGAAGTTAACCCTTTTGCTGTAAGCTCTCCTTTTTT